TGCGCCAAGTGCAGGACCGACCAAGATAACCAGCTCGTCATTACTGGCACGGTGCCACTAACTACTGCGCTGTTGGGAGAGATCGTGGCAGGTAGGTTAGCGAGCCTGAAGACGGAGGACGTGGAGCCCTACTTGGCGAAGAATCTGCACTGGCGCGTTACGTTATTCAATGGGGAGGAGAAGGACAGGAACGAGGTGCCGGGCTTGAATGTCTCGGTTGTGAGCACTAATGTTAGGATTGGGGATGATGGTATTCCGATCTATTCCGACGTTTATACCGTGCATCCGGCCATTACGGATGGCAAACCTGCGGGTCACAGTCCTGGTGATCAGATTTAAGTTTTTGAAGCGTTAAAAATCAGTCTGTTAGGTTTGTTTTTAGAGCAGGGTGTTGCTCTAGACTCTCATTTGACCGGGCGACAATGAATTAAATAATATTCAATTGCAATTCTTCCGAACTCCTGATTCCTGAAGCAGACATCAGGCCTTTGAGCTCATTTCAGCCTTCTAAGTAGCCCCCGGCGGTTCCCAACCATCCACTGCCAGAATGCTCCAATAGGTGCATATGGCTTGCATGATATGCAAGGATGACCATTCATAAATCAAGATGTTTGTGAGATTAACGCGACAGTTTCATGTTGCAGGTAGCTAGTGGGACTATATACGGCACACCCATTTTCGAGTAGCTCTTTTTTTTGGGTCAGCTGCGTTTCCTAAACTTCAGATTCTTTAACAAGGTATCGTTAACTTTCTAAATAATTTTTGCTTATTATCTGTGTGAGCTGTCAGCAGCTTCTTAGGCTCTCTCAGTGGGTAGGCACTCCGTTTATCCAACTTCTTTGCGAACCCAATCTAAGACAATATTATGTCTCAAAAATTCGAATACGTGCCACTTACCGAACCGGACGATATACGGCTGGTTGAATTACAGCCAGCTCAAGATGATTCTATCCTGATACAGTGCAAACTGATCCACATAAAGCTCTCTATATTTGGCAGCCAAGATTATTTTAGCCACTATGTGGCTCTTTCATATGTTTGGGGCTGTCCTAATAAGACTCGAACAGTCTGGATTGACGGGACGTCTTTGGAAATAACGGTCAATCTCTTCTCGGTACTTTGTGACATACGTGACAAGACAAGACCCCTGTTCCTGTGGGCAGATGGTATTTGCATTAATCAGAGCAATGACAGTGAGAAGGAAATGCAGATTGGTATAAGGGGAGAAATATATGCCAGCGCACTCCATACCATCATTTACCTTGGAGCCGCCGACATTGACAGTGCCGAATTCCAATGCATAGTCGCTTTAAGACAAAGTCATGATCAGACCAACACGGACCTCGCCTTATCGCTTGCTCCAATATTGATAAAGGAATAGTTCACTCGAGTGTGGGTATTTTAAGAACTAGTGTTTTCGATCAGCCCCTGGATACAGTGTTGTCGGGCAAAGGTCAAGTGGAGTATTTCCTCTCAATATCTCCTCGGCTCAACTTAAATGCTGATGCCGAGGAAGAATCCTGGAGTGGACGAGCATTCGCTGCGGCCTACAAGGATCTCTAGGGTAGGAAAGCAGTCTAGTCCGTCAGGCTTGTTGGAAAGTCAAAGACTCAGAATTCTTATTAAGATGCAAGATGCTTGGGGTAATCACCACAATCCTCCTAAAAGCAGCGAACTACGTGGAAAGATATATCAGAAAGGTAGTCTTAGAGGGATATATCAAGGAGAAACATTTAGAGGGCCTTCCAGCAATACGATGCCGAGCCTATTGCAAGCGAGAAGAGGTTCGGCCGCTTCCGATCCACGAGACATGGTGTTTGCACATGTTGGCTTTGCCACCGATACCAAGTGTAGTGATATCCGAGTTGATTATTCGAAAATTACTGTGGAAGTTTTCACGGATTGCGCACGATATCTCGCAAAGAAGAACGGGTTCATCACCATAGCGGCATGCATTAGCGATGGTAAATCTAAGACACAGCTCAAGGGTTTACCCTCATAGGTACTAGATTGAACTAATTCAATACCTACGGCGTATTTCGACTCACTACTTCGCGATGATCACGTCGGTTTTCATCCCGCATGGCAGCACAACAATCCGGTTATGGGAGTTCTTTTTCATGGTGAACTAGGGGTTACTAGTTCAGAACTATCGGTCCGAAAAGTTTTAAACAATATCCGTCAAATCGCCCCGAGGATAGCTGGAATGGATATTGCTTTCGATGAAATAGGAACCCTTATGTTTGACCAGAGTATTTTAAACAGTGTAGAAGAACTCTACAACGCAGTGTACCAAATGTGGAGAGAAATGGTCCAAGATGACGACATCCTTCCACCAAATTCTACTCCGCAACACGACACACCTTGTAGATATTCGTATGATACAGCAATTTCATTTCTTATCCCATTGGGCTTCAACCTCGTTAGCAACGGTGGTGCTAGCAGTCGATGCTTTGACGAGATGGCTCTAGCGAGATTAATTAATGGTAGGCTAGCTCTTGTGCCAACATCAGCCCAGGGTGGAGATATGGTTGCCTGGCAAGCGATACCGGATTTGGGTTAAGTGGGAGAGCCTTTTTGATTCGCAGCTTCGAGCCTGCTGACGAACAACTCGTTATGGAATGTGGGGTGCCAGTCACCCCTTATGAGTTCGTTAGACAGTGCTTTCTGGGTCGGGTCCCCGTGCCATACTCGGACGACCTCAAGAGCGAAAACCTCGAGTGGAAACGCATAGTTTTATATTAGTTCTACCTTCTCAATAGGCAATTCACCTTTAGTCACCATGATAACGGGATCACTTCACCAGGAACGAATTCTTGTCCGTGTTGAACTGGCGTCGGGATCATATTGAGGGTATCTAGGCTCTATATATTGTACATAGAGGGGACCCCACCCCTAATCTACACCGCCAGGTTGAGGGTCTTACTGATTTGGTGCATACCGCCAACTGGACAGTTCGCTCCTGCCGCGCTAAGTTTCTCAATAATATATCCTAGTGCACAACCTCTCATTAAAGAAGCGATTTGAGATCCGAATGTTTCTAAGATCGAATTATAGTCCAGTATATCATAGCAGGCCTTCTTACAACTGTTTTGAAATCTACAGAAAACATGTTCTCCGGCCACGGTATCATAGCATTGGGCACTCTCTCATTCAAATCCCAAAGCGTCGGGCCAGCCTCAGAACTTTTATCCTTGGAGATCTCCCAAGATATCTATCTTTGAGCCTGGACCAATCCGCATTTTATTCCACATTCTCTTTAGACTAGTGGTGGGATAGACGGAACACCATCAGAACCAGAAAAAGCGATCTAATGTGCTGAGGGCTTTCTGAGTATAGAACCAGCGCTCCACAAAGCTAGCATGAAGGCATTGCTAGGTGCAGCCTTCATGCATTGAACACATGGGGTCCAAAATGCCACTATCAGCAGAACTTGTAGCGCATTTAGGCTAAGGGCATAGCCGTCTAAAACCGGCTTGGGTTCCCCCGGGATGGTCAACGACTCGAATATTGGGACTATTTTCTTTAACCATAGGGTCTTGAAGCAATGCGCGTGCTTTCTGTATTTTGTTCTCCATTTGCCCAATCGCGAGGAATGGCATCTTTGCGAAATGCGTCGCCAGTTCCAATTCAGAGTGAAGCCCCCGCGGATGTGGTTGAAGCAAGTGCTTCGCGCTGAGAGGGCTTAGAGTTAGCAAATAATCGCAGCACAATACCATCGAAAGGTGTCCTACAGCTACTTATCTTGACCTCTTCCATATGTTGTATTTGAAGATCCGACGAGTCATCGTGCCGCTACCATGTTAGAAGTAGTTGCCTCTCCACAGCTGCGACCGTCTCTTGGGCTTTTAACATCGCTTAGTTGATTCGGACAGTCGTTTTGTCTTGTTGCTTCGAGCTGTATTGCTGTGCTCACTTTGTAAGCGATTCACTGGCCTACCATTCTTTTAGGCATATAATCATTTTTTTCGTGCTTCTAGGAGAGGAATTCAATCATCTTTCTATGCTATTATAAAATTCCTTGGTTAGGCAGTTGGGCTGGTTTTATGGCGTTTGAAATTATGTATCTTATTGGATGAAACCGAACCTAGGAGACACTGAAACTTCTGTCCCATATGCCGTTCCTTCATGCGAACATTTACTTGGGTTTCTAAACGTCTGACCACGGATAGAGCATGCCGGGCGCTTCTGCCAATTAGTGACCAAGTCTCTCATTGTTTTGACAACCGTGGAGAGGGTTTGCTTGATGCAACTATATTTTTATGCCCAACCATAGTAACAGTCGAGAGTCTTAGAAGATCCTCTCTCAATTTTTTTGGCGGTTGCTGCGTTCTTTGGAGGCTATAGGAGATATTATTTTAACTACTTCTGGCTAGTATATCTGGCCTCTGAGATCGCTTACAGAACCGGAGGGCTATCAGCATCGGCCAACTGCTGGGTTTCTACTATGATAGCAGCAATTCGTCGTAAGAGCTAGGGCTTTAACTACTTGAGTATCAAGATATCTTCAGTAACGTGCTCACGTTATGCCCGGGGAAGCGACGGGAAGAAAGGGTGGGGTCCAGGCTTTCACGAGATAGCATATCCTAGTATTAACAGTAATAGGATCGCTACTAAGAGAGCGTGATTTTCCCATGGTGCAATTGGTGTCCCTAATTCTGCCTATATATATCTGGCGTCTAAAAATGTGTCTTTGAGAATCTAGAGCGAGCCTGACGGAGGCCAATTGGGAATGAAAAGTCTATTGATATTGAGGAGCGATGCCTTCAGGACCGGATGTAGCGAAGTGACGCTATCGGTAAATGCGGCCTCCATGCGCTTGAGTGCAGTCTGAAAATAGAGAATGAAGGCTTTGGAAGGATCATGAAAAACGTTGTGCGTCTGCTTTGTCATTCTATGAGTGAAAAAGCGAGTGTGGGGTTGACACCCCCAGTTATTGATAAGAATTGCCCCTTTTAAAATAGTATATATTTTACATTAATTCTGAATTATGTCATTCCGGCAAGATGGCCGAGTGGTTATGGCGTGTGACTCAAGCGAAAGCTTGCCTGTTCACCAGGCAGTATTCTCATGGGCTTTGCCCGCGGGGGTTCGAATCCCCCTCTTGTCATCATTTTTTTGGCCACTTTGGTATTCAGCTCAAACTGTCTCTAATCTTTTTGTCCCTCATCCAAATTTTTTTAAAATTTTTTTACAAAAGGAGGGTTAGGTAATCCCGGGGACAATTTTATAGAGAAACACACGAAAAAGTAGTCGACGACGGCCCCTGTATAATCCTACCATCCAGTGTTTAGAACTGCTGGAGCCCGGAAGTATACTCACTAGATACAAAAAGCCCCACATATCAAAATGAGTTCTCAAGATTCTGAGTAACTACTTGGGTAGATGGCGGTGATCGTGCCGAGACAATTACCATGTGCGGATAAAACATCAAGGCCCTGCATCCTTCCCCACCTACAACACCAACGTTATACTATTCTTCCAAGCTTATGATGACTCTCTGCATCGAGTGTCAAAAAATCCCGTTTCATTTATTTTCCGAGTTTGATCGCAATACCTTGGATCATGAACTCTGCCCGGATTTTACGCACTTTTCTCGAGCATGCGATTTTGCTTCGTCCGCCCAGAGCTGTCCTCTCTGCGCCATCATTCTGGGCGAATTTCGGATCCAAAGTAGAACAATTGGTACTTCGGAGGCGGTTGAAGAATGTAATCTTACTCTAAAAAGTCGTAATCCGATCACAATGGCTGCCTGGAGGAACGACCCGTTTCCGTGGCAGCAAATAACCGGAAGCCTCAATTTAAATTGTGTGAATATTGAGATTACCGTACCCGATTCCGAAGACCGTATTATACAGGGAAACTTGATACTTTCTGCTGATCTCGGTAATTATTGCGACTAGATCTGAAGAGCAATTGAGCTGATTCGATTTCGAGGCAAAGATAGTGCTGCGTTCAAATCTAGAGACATTATTGGCAGGCCCTCGCTAACCGATTCTGGGTCTCAGAAAGCATATGCAATGGCTCAGAAGTGGCTCGATAGATGCGTTGCAACGCATGAACGGTGCCGGAAGACGATATCGGGAGAGACACTCGATATATTTGACGAGCCACGGCTTCCGATGAGAGTCATTGACGTCGGGCTGGCAAACGGTTCGCAGGTGCCTCGACTGCTTGAAACCCAAGGTCGCAAAGGCAAGTACGCAGCTTTAAGTTATTGCTGGGGTCCGCCCGATAGGCATCCTCTGCGCACAATGAGAGATAATTTGGACGCACATCTCAAATGCCTTAAGCTAGAGAGCCTCATCAAGACACATCAACATGCTGTTGCTGTAACGCGAGCTATCGGAATCAAATACCTCTGGATTGATTCGCTATGCATTGTACAAGATGACCCTATGGATTGGGAGCGAGAGTCTGCTGTTATGGGATTTATCTACGAGCGCGCACACCTTACGATCGCTGCTTCAGCGATACAAGATTCCGGAGAGGGATTGTTTGTAAAACGCTCGCAGCCCCGACCAACCGTCAACTTGCCTTATATTAACTCCAGTGGGCAGCAGGAGGGCTTGTTTGCCGTCAGCGGTTTTCGTGTCGATAATGGGCTTTTCCCTCAGGTTCAACTAAGCGCACTATCTAAAAGAGCATGGGCAACACAGGAGTGGATCTTATCCCGGAGAATGATACACTACATGGAATCGTCGATGATATGGACCTGTCAGGAAATCCAGCAAACTGAGACGGGCATGCCTGCACCTGTGTTTGCAATGGACGAGGACTGGGACGGAGTAATACGGATGTACACAAGACGCGGCATAACCTACCCCGGAGATCGACTATTTGCTCTTCAAGGTATTTCAAACGAGATGCAAAAACGAAGAAAGGACAAATATGTCTACGGGATGTGGACTGGGGACTTTCCACAACAACTTTACTGGATGCGAGCGGATAAGCTTGAGAAAAATACTGCACTTCCCCATGTACCTTCGTGGTCTTGGGCGTCGAAAACAGGCGCCGTGACAAATTTCAAGCATCAGCAAGACTGGGACGACCTAAAATGGCACGATGCATGTCGCTTCTTAGCCGTGGAAGCATCTGGCACGTTGATCCTGAGCGGCCGAGTGAAGTCAGCAAGTTGTTTCAGGAGAATCGTCCTGTCTGATCGATGTCCAGGATACTCACGAAAAGATCGAGGTTTGTCAGGCCTAGATTGGTCAGGCGGGCTTATGGACGATCTTTTGCCGGAAGAGCCAGGCCCGGAAACGATTCACCTCGTCATGAATGATGGTAACGATATCTTGGGTTGGGTTGTTCTAGATGGTATTTCTGAATTGAGTGGCGAAATCTTTTATTTACTGGTTGGAGAAGGAGTAGTCGAACCGGCGAGGAGAGATTCTGATGACAAAATAGAAGCCATAGAGCATAATGTTGCTCATGTCAGCAGGGCTGCAGTAAATACTCAGAACAATCTGTCAGTAATATTTGAATTAAAAAGCAACAAAGCTCTTTGCCTTAGTATCGTTCTACAGCGCTCGGCAACAGAGCTTAGAGCTTTTACTAGGGTCGGGGTAGGATTGTTGGGTAGTGTTATGTCTTCATGGTTTTGTAGCGAAGCAGAGCACGAAATCCGTATTGTTTAAAGCATATATTACTGTGGCAAAAACTATTTTTCAAAGGATTTGTTCATGGTTTCCTTAGTTTGCTAACCCCTGGGTTGCCTCTCCCACATGCTCTAGCTACGAGAGAAGTCCTAAACGAGAGTAATACTTTGAATACTAAAATCCTCCAACTGAAACGCTTCGCCTTTTATCATACCATTGATATAAGCCTCTCTAATAAGCACAAAAGCATCGCCTTTACGCCTCATAGCGAATAGTGTCAGTCTATCTAAGAAAATACACACACAGTCTCCAGCTTGAGCCGTCATCGGTGTTAAACATATCCCTTTTGAGCCATAGACAGACTCATATAACGCGATTCTTTTAGAGTAATGGTGTACTGTAAATGCTTCATAACATCATCTCCCCAGGCCAGTTCGCCTTCTTCTAGATTTGGCTTTTCTGATAGAGCCTCGGGCTCTCTTCCCTCTTCTGCAAACTTCACGAACAACTTTAACCAGGCATCGAACCAGGGCCTATGATTCTAGGTTGGGTTCAAGCCTCCATGAGTCACATTTGCGATCGGAGTCCTCCGGAGCACATCAACAGCTTCTTCTTCAGTGTGATAAATTTGAGAACTCCTAATCCTATGTATCTACTCTTGAATCTAAATGATAAATTCTTGCTGCTTCCCTAGTTCAAAACTCTTTGCAATCCCAGTCCCTATTTATTATGTTGTGTAAGATATTCGATCAGCGAAGACCCTAATAAGAGCTAGCCGTTTATAGATGCTGTGATGGGTGTATGTTAGTTTGAGTCAACAAGTATCCAATTGCCTTTGGAAAGATTACCTCAAACGTATGACACGGCTTCGTAAGAAAGCTTGTTGGAGATACCCACATGCTCGAGCCGGCAAAAGAGCTTTTCGCTATCGCCCCCGGGATAAAGATGCAGAAGTCGGATATGAGTCGGCGATTCTAGAGATTTGTACTGGTATGGTGCCGAATCCTCCATTGCCGTTACTCCAAGGCTTCCACGGTAACTTTACAAGTAAAGCTTCACGCTATTTAAGGACTATGTAGAGCTGAAGAAGGGTATAGTACGCTAGTTGAACCGCGGCGGTAGTCCTCATCGTAGGATACCGTGTTGCTGTTATAAAATGAGGGCCATGCCAAATTGGTGCTCTCTAAAGCCTCAAACACCCGAAAGTGAAGTAGACGGACGCTAAGCCTAAAAGGCAGCGCACATATATATAGGACCCCAATAATTTTTTGTTCGACGACTCCAGCCTGTATCTCGAGTGAATTGTCGCCGCTTGAGCCGCACTTACAGCAAAGACAAAGGCAGGGTATTTCTGGTCACCGGCCTGCTTCCTTTACTCGACTCCTTTAAAGTACTAAGTGTAAATTAACTTATGCAAATGTTATTTCTTGGATAGAACATTACGGGTCCAAGAAGATATCTTGATGCTAATATTCTTACCAATAAATATGGCTAGGCGGAACGCAAGTTATTCAGAGGAAATTGAGAGAACGCATGGGTTTTACGCGTACTTTACAAAGACCGCAACTCTTATACATTTATCTACCTAGTATTAAAGGGGCTTTTAGAGGCATATAGAAGAAAAAGTATCTTCCAATTGCTTATATTGGAGAGTATATGGAGAAGTATGAGTATATAGAAGGCAGGAAGTAACGTAGGCCTTCTGAATAATACTGCTACACTGGCGGCGTATAGAGAAGCTGAAGGGGGTGCATTTCCTCCGGTCATATTCACCGATCTTTGCCATCCCTGTTAATGCCGTCGTTCAGCTCCAGAGCCTAATTGTCCCGCCTAAAGATCTAGATAAAGAGCAGCTTACTATCAGTCAAAAATAATATAATATAGATAACATCTGAATGGCTCTTAAGTAGGCCGCACTATATTATACATACATGCCCTCATTGAGTCGCATAGCCTTATTGTCCCGTCCATAGATCTAGATATAAGTACCCCGCTACCCGGCGAGAGTTCTACGCTTAAAATTCCAACAAAGAGGCCCTAAAGTGGTCTATAAAATATCTCTGCTGCCGTTAAGTCCCAGAGCCTCATTTCCCCGTCTAAAGATCCAGATGCAAGTAGCTTGCCGTCCAGCGAGAATGCCATGGCCCAAATTGTGATAGAGAGGTCCCGAAACAGTCTACACAGTGTCTCTGCTGCTGTCGAGTCCAAGAGCCTTACCACCCCCTTGAAAGATCTGGATGCAAGTAGCTGGCTGTCCGGTGAGAATGCTAAAGCCAAAACTACACCATAGCAGCCCTGAAGCAGTCTACGCGATATATTTGCTGCTGTCAAGTCCCAGAGCCTCACCTCCCCGTCTGAAGATCCAGATGCAAGTAGCTTGCTGTCCGGCGAGACTTTCACAGCCACAATGTTGCGAATGTCGTAGCTCTCGAGTTTATCGAGCAGTGTAGCTGGCTGCGATGTTAAATTCCAGAGCTCCATTCTGTCGTCGATGGATACCGAAGCAAAT